AGCTGTGTGGCTTCGGGGCTTTGCAGACTCCCGGCAAACAGGCGCACTCCTAAGTGACTAAGGATGCTGGAGTGGCGCGAATGACGTGAGAAATTGGAAAGTGAGACTCACGGAACTTCATCCTGTAATGAAGTGTTTATGGCACATAAGTTAAACCCCAGACACAAATGATAAATGAGTAAGCTGAAGGGGAAATTTTGCTTAATAACATTACAGTGCATTAAAAATAAATAGTAAAACTTTAGACATTAAGGTTTCCATAGGGGTAATGAATCAATTCCTAAAATTCCAGTAAGTCAATTCCAAAATACATTCATTTAAAAAATGTATAATGATATTATTAGGGGCCCCTCCCCCATAAGGTGATTACTTTGGGGGAAGGCCTGACTGCATTCTCTCCTGAAGTATGGCTGTGCTAATACTGACAGGATGATAAAGAATTAAACTTGCAGTTAATTAAATTTTAAAGAAAATAAGACACGGGGTCTAAGAAGCTGAAGTTTCCATTGAAAATGGATCATGGGGTCAAAACAGATAGCAGCCTTCACTAAGTATTTCTGTTTGCTTCTTGCCCTCCAGTGCAGAGTGATTTCAGAGCTGGCCCCCAGCAGTAAGGCACGGGGTGCATCCTTCCAAAAGTTCCATTGTTTTGTTCTTGAGGCAGCATATAGTAAGTATCAAATGGTCAAGGAGGTCAGAGGAAGAAACACTTATTGAGAGGAGATATTGGGAAAGCTTCACGGAAAAGGAGTCACTTAAATAACATTGCTTGAAAGCTCAGGTAATAGGGCCCCCTGCTCTGGGCCCCCAGTTTTAGAGGGGTCCCATTCCAGCTTTCCTTTGTCCAGGCCCTTCTCCAGGGAGTAAGGAATCCACAGACCCCAGAATTCCAGAAGCCCCTGCCCAAATGGCTCCAAGCTCAAGTGCAGGGCCTACCTTGGTCTCCTGGTGCAGCTGATTGCAGGAGTTTAGATGCTTGGACATGAGAGCTAGGACAGCTACATGGACACACACGAGGCAGGATGGAGCTGAGCGTGGGAAGAGAGGGCGAGGAGAGGTCGGAGGTCAAGTCTTTCCATGCCACCACGTTCTGGTAGGAAATGCAAGGAATCTGAGAACTGAAAGTTTGAACCCGGCCTTTTGGATGCTTATAAGTCATAATGACCAAGGTAGGAGGGTAAAGCATATTTAACTCAATAGTTTGTTAGCTTGATATAATTCTGAAACATTTCAACATATGGTGTGTGGGTGTCCGTTTGCTCTCCTCCCCCAGGTCCCAAGAATCCGAGGGGTGCGCCTGCACTTCAAGTATGACTTGAAGGAAGGGTAGGAGTTGGAAAAGTGGAGAGGGGGAGAGGTTTCAGACGGGTGGGATGCAGAGAAGAAAACAGACTCCTAGTTTGACTCCCTCGGGATGTCACTTCTCCAGCTAAATATTGCTAAGTATTTTAATTAATTTCCATTATATTCTAGAATCAGTGTTCCCAAACTTCTCAACTATTCCTGACATTGCCACTTTCAGTGCTCCTTTCCAAGGCTTCTTTAGGTGCAGCACCCAGAACTGAGCGCAGGGTGGGCAGAGCAGGACCTCGTCCTAAGGGCAGCGGACATTCCTCTTCACCCAGTCTCACATTGATGTTGCCGTCAACTCTAATCCCCACTTCATTTCCATGTCTTGTGGTTGAATCATGTTTTCCCTATTCTATTTTGTTCCAGTTACATTTTTAATGCGAGTCATATATTTTTCATTTATCTTTTATTTTTGTCTAGAACTCATCCATAAGCATTTCTTTTGGATCCTGAGTCTGTCTCCTGTAAAGTAGGAGAGGGTTTGAGAATATTAGGAAGCTGGTAAATTTCAAATTGCCTTTAAAAGAAAACCAAATTGGATGCTTCTGTCATCTCAAAGCTGCATGATTTTGCTTTAGAAGGGTCATGCCAACACTGATGGAGGAACCTATGTTCCATCCCGAGCCTGAGGGAGAACGCTAGCTTCACACAAACCTCATAGTTTGAATATTCAGGAGGTTTTCGTGGTTCAACTTCTCACCAAGCGTGTATAGAGCGAGTGAGGGTCTGTCTTCCATTGGCGGAGACAGGGCACTCTCACTAGATGACCGTGTTGTGCGAGCACAGCCAGGACCTGGCTCCGCTGAGTGGCAGTGACTGTTGGAACCGACCCACCTGCAAGCGGAGCCACTCTAGGATTCTGCACTTAAAATACCCGACAAGCGGCTTGCTGAGGCCGTGCTGTGGTTCCAGCACTATGCTAGGTATGGTAGAGGACAGAAAAGGAGGACAAGCCCCTCTCTGCCCTCAAGAAATTCACGGTCTACCTGAAGCCCGAGACCTGCCAGCAGGGCAGCTGTGCAGCAGGCAGAGCGCCGTGTTCCACAGGCACCGTCACTTCGGTCTCTACAACAACCCCTCGAGTGAGGAGCCTATGGTTGGCAGCAAAATGCACCTCCTGCCCCCAGATGTCTACATTCTCATCCCTGAAACCCGTGAATGTTTTCTCACATGGCAAAAAGGCCTTTGCAGAGTGATTAAGGGTCTTGAGGAGATTATCCTGGGTGATCCAGGTGGGCCCAGTGTGAGTGCAAGGAAAACACACTGTACAGGGGGAACTGGGTGAAGAGCTGGGCAACTAAGCCCATGTCCCTTGGGGTACTTCACGGGGAAAGGGAACAGAATAGAATGGGAACTAGGATTTAATAGTGTGTGGCACTATTTGGGGCAAGCCTTTGTGTGTCAAGCATTCTGCTGGGTTCTTCGTATACGAGAGTTTCTTATTTGAACCACTAACGTGTGACATGGATACTACCATCCCCATTTAAAGGCAACAGGCTCAAAGCTTTGGTGTGATACGTCCTAGTTAACAAGCTTATAACTTTGGAGCTGGGATTTGAACCTATGTGAATCTAACTTCAAGACCCATACTCTCTCCACACTGATCTCCTGTATAAGTGGAGGAAATACTCTTTTAGTTTTGACGTACCTCAAAAGGCTCCCTCACGTGCCTACCTTGATTCTCAAACTGTTGCTGTTATGAGGATTCAGTTGTCCAGGACCTGAGGCGGGTAGGGCCCTTGGGCAGTAGGGCTGGCAAGGCCCCAGGAAGAACGGCTGGGATTAAGGAGCAGAGACTGGATCTCCCTGGGCCCACCTCCGGCCACCGGATTCTGGAAGACAAAGGGGGCCTGGTTTAAAGGCACCTACAGAGCGGGTGTGGAGAGCACCAAAGATGTCTCTCTCCAGCTGCACAGCTTTCTCTCAGGTGAGCCCAGATCGCAGAACACACAGCTCAGCTAAAAAGTGCCTGCAGATGGGCCCGCCCACTTGGGATAAGTTTTCTCCTCAATCTCCTTGCAGTGATTAGCCATCTGCACTGGGCCTGCGCTTTCAAAACCCAATTCAAGTTTGGAGAGAAAGCACGTGCACGCAGCCCCGGTTTTTGAAGAAGCGGTCCAGCGGAGAGCGGTGTGAGCTCACTCGCCAGAGCGCTCATCAAGCTGTTGGGCTTCCCTGGAGCTGCAGGTAGAGAACCCCAGCCCAGGATCCTGCCGTCACTCAGGGAATCCCCCTACCCCCAGGGCAGGCATCCTTCTATGGCATTTCCAGCAGAGAACCCTGACCGGACAGTTACAGAACATCCTAAGAGACGGATTCCACTATTGGATGGAACTGTTGGAAGTTCTGCTTCACATATGCTGAGACTACTGTTACCTCGTACACAAAAGTATGAGTTATTATTAAATTTGAAAATAAGAAAAGTACCTGAAGATATATTAACTACATACCAATTTATCTAAATGCGGAGAGACACCATGACCTTTTTGTTTTAGAAATTGTTAGAAACTTTCTCTAAGTGACATTCAAATAATTTATACTGCGAAGGATAATTTGAACCCTTCCTTGCTTTCAGAAGGCATTTTGTATCCGAAAGGACGTCAGTGATGCTGGGGCCCTGTCTCATTTTAATGGCAAAGTAATTCTCTGTACAAATGCACTGAGTCTTCTAACATAATTAGGATCAATGATCGTCAAGACAGTTTCCATTGGTATCACACAACCACGTTGAAATAGCATACTTTCAGCTTTAGCATGTAAAAATTTTGTTCCATTTGAGCCAGAAAGAATTTCAATATATACACTAGTACTTAAAAAAAAATAGGGCTTCCCTGGTGGCGCAGTGGTTGGGAGTCTGCCTGCCAATGCAGGGGACACAGGTTTGTGCCCCGGTCCAGGAAGATCCCACGTGCCGCGGAGCGGCTGGGCCCGTGAGCCATGGCCGCTGAGCCTGCGCATCCGGAGCCTGTGCTCCGCAGAGGGAGAGGCCACAACAGTGAGAGGCCCGCGTACTGCAAAAAAAAAAAAAAAAAAAAAACAACAATACACCATAGGATCAATATAATCATGGATTTCTCTGCAAATTACCATCCCCATTAGATGATTTCAGAAACCAAAGTGAACAGTTAAATAAAGCAAGAAAATTTATAAGCAGAAGAGATTATTGAAAATAAGTAAAAGCTAATAGCTATCGAGTGCCTATCATGTGCCAGGCAGTGTTCACACTTAAGTTTTCACCTTTACAATTCGGCAAGGTTGATTTCACCCTTATTTTACAGATGAAAAAAAATAAAAGAGGCTTAAAGAGTTTAAACGACTTGCCCAAGATCACATAATTAGTGCTGCCACTGTAACCTGATCCCAGATCTCTCAGAGCTAAGAGTCCACATCCTTGCCACTGTTGAAGCTATACCTCTCATATGGGGAGGGAACAATACACACGGTGAAATAAGAAGCGACTGGCTATATTCAATATCCTGAGATAAACCATAAGGGGAAATAATATTAAAAAGAATGTATATATATGCGTGACTGAATCGCTTTGCTGTACAGCAGAAATTAACACATTATAAACCAACTATACTTCAATTAAAAAAAAAAGCAATCAGGACGTGAGTCACCTGCAACAGGAAATGCAAAACAACAGAGGCTTCAGTGATGCAGGAGTTTTATTTCTCTTGAATGCATAAGGAGGTTGTCTGGGCCTTATAGGGTCCCTCTACATGTCAAGGATGGAAGCTCCTGGGCTTCAGTTTCTCTGCCCTGTGAGGATTCATGGTCCCAGACAGGGGTAGAGCGCCAACCATTACCTACCCGTTCACTGAAGCTGGCGGAGGAAGGAATAAGGACATCCCACATCTTTCAGGACATGTCCCCAAAGTTGCTCAGATCACTGACCAGAACTTACAGACTCCTAGCTGCAAGGGAGGCTAGGAAGGTAAAATTTTAGGTGGCTTTGTGCCCAATCAAAAATCAGAATTATAAGGAAGAAGGGGAGAATGAATATTGAGAGAAACAAGTAACAGCCTCTGCCACAGTGAGCTTATGGAATATGCTAGGAATAAAATGTAGACCTGAAAACCTTTATCTCCCCTTTCGTGCAAGTGTATTTTCTATTAACAAAAAATGGAACATTAATTTGTATTTCTCTGGATATTTGAAGTATTTCATGAAAACATGTTAGTAGAGTGATAAACCCTCATTACCCACCACCCAGAATTAATGCTAACATCTTCCTTCAGATCTTAATTAGAAGTCTTGCCTCAGATAAGGCCCCTTTGCTGCCACGCCCCCATTCCACCCCTCTCCCTCCCTTTCCAGAGGCAACTACTTTTCTGAATGATGTGTTTCCCATTGATGGTTCTATATTTTCTCTCTATAAATAACAACAGTACTTTAAAAAAACTATATATAAGTGGCATACATGTCACCTTCTGACAGCTTGTTTTCATTCAGTATTTTTTTAAGGCTAGCCATTGGTATTACATATCCAGTTCACTCATTTGAACTGCTTGTTTGCCATCTTATTGTCCATTATACAATTTATCCACTTTCTTGTTCATGGAGATTTATGGTCCATCTCCAACTTTTCCCAGATACAAGCAATTCAGCTGTGATCAGCCACTAAGTCTCCTTGTCCACAGGCGCCTGGATTCCTGAGAGCACTGCTTCTCAAGATGCAAGAAGCATGCGAGTCACCTGAGAAGTCTTGTTAATTGCAAATTCTCACTCAGCAGGTCAGGAGTGGGACCTGGGTGACAGTCCTCAGGTAGAGCCCATGCTGTGCCTCTGCAGACACTGTGAGACGCTAGTATACCCCTGGAGTTGTCAGGTCAGGGGGTACGTCTTCAACTTTCATAGCCACCATCAAACTGAAGCAATTGTTCCCATTTCTCCATTCTCACCAACACTTGATCTTGTGAGACTTTTTGCCTTTTGCCAATCTGAAAACATGAAACAACTAAGTCATATTTCCCTGATTATCAGTGACAATGATCACCTTTTCATACTGTTTTGACTATTCAAGCTTTTTCTGTTCATATATTTTACCCATTTTTCTAATGCAGCGGTTCTGAGCGTGGTCTGAGGACCCTGGGAGATTCACAAGGTCCTTCTTTTTCCAATTTCCTATCCACATGAGGCTCAATTTTCTTCACATACTTTAACCAAAACATACAGCAACAGACTGATTGAAGAAGCAGCTATCAGAATCCAGCTGTCTTCTATTGAGCCAGACATTAAAGAGATTTTCAGAAATGTAAAACAAATGCCTCTCTTCTCATTAAACTTTCATTTTGAAAAAGTTATTTTCCATAATGTTATTTAACATGTATTATTTTAAATAAGGTAATACTTCAAAAATTCCTCTATTTTCATTTCTAACAGAGTAAATATCAGTAGATATAAACTACATACACAAAACCACTTTGGGGTTCTCAATTTTTGAGACTGTAAAGGGATCTTGATACCAAAAAGTTTGAGAACTGCTCGGTATTAATGCATAACTGTCAATTGCTCACTGATTTATAGGAGGTTCTTTTGTCGTTTAATGTATTCTGGATACTAATCCTTTGTCAGTTATATGTATCAAAACATTTTCTCCCAGTCTGAGGCTTGTCTTTTTACTTATGTTGCCTATTGTTCTGCAGAAGTTTTCATTTTGATGCCATCCTATTTTCCTATAGTGCTATGCTTTTGATAAGGATACTGTTCCTATTTTGAAATAGGGAAGGTCTCACTGGGCTTTATGGAGAACCCTAGCTTTGGTACCACTGAATGAATTGTGGAGGAATAAACGGGATTTCCCCTAACCCTCTCCTTCCAGAACCCTCAAGCTATGCACCTTCTACACTTGAGCTAACTTCAATCAAGATGGTAGTTACCACTGAGCTTTAATGAGATTAACGTAAAATATGTGCTCATGTATTTTTGAATATTCTGCTCTGCCTCAGACAAACAAAATCGAACGTCTGTGATCCACCAAAAATAACATTTTACCCTTGCCATAACATATGTTTCTGTTTTCCTCTTCAGAAGTAGATTGGAAAGGAAATTCCCATAAAACCTAAAGCGCATTCAATTCAGCACATACAGTTCTATCTGCAAATATTTTAACTGAAAAAGATTTAACTCATCTAAATTCAATAACATTGTGTATAAAGCTTTTGTATTTAAAAAACGTTTTCATATGTACTACTTTGTTTGATCTTCATAATAATCCTGGGTGATAAATGAAGACAATATTATTATGCTAACAACTGTGTTAGAGATAAGGAAAACGAAGTTCAGAGAAGTTAAATGACTTATCAGCGTCACACACAGGATTAGAACTGAAATCTAATTTCTGATCACAACTGATGAAGATCTCTTAAAAAGTATGGATGACTTCTGTCAATGAGAATAAAAGTGACAAGAAACCCCAATCAATCCTCACATGTAGCAGGAATAAATTTAAATATGCCTGCATGGTTGGTACAAGGGAAAGCAAGGAAGGTCTGAAGGGCATTTGCAGGACATTCTCTACCTTTCAAGATGACTTCCTATTTTTTACTGAACAATAAATAACATGTGACTAATATGCCCTCCCATTCATTAATATTCCTATTCATAATTATGGCCAATTCATCTAGTTCAAATTAGAGGAAGGTGGTGAGTGTTCAGATGAAGCCTGGGAGGAAAAGACCAAAGACAGAAAACTGGCTGGCATTTCCCCTGAAGGGACCAAGAAAGGGGGGAAAACAATTAGGAGGAATTAGCAATAGAAGTTAGAAAGGGAAGAAGGTAAAGAAAATAAACATCTATCTAAATGAAAAAGAAACAAACTAAAAATTAAGCTACAAATGCATATTTTCAAGTCCATCTCACAGAATGATCCGCATCATCAATACTATCAATGAAGCTTTCAGAAAAGACCTCGCCCTCGGGGACCCTGTGTTTTAGAACTTATGCATAACTGAAGATTGTTTCATTTGAAGATCAAGGATATAAGGAGAGAAATAACTTCACTGAACAGCAAGTACTTATTTCAAGATAGTGAACTAAAAGCATTGCCTATTTAATCCACCCTAAAACCTGACTCATCACTGATCCATATACTTGACCACACTCACTTATAAAGATTCTCTGTATTTCTTTTTTCATCTTTGCTACAGAGTAGATAATCTAGGGCATAAATATCAGCCCTAGTGAAAAATCTTTCATTAAAAAAGTTTCTCTCTTGGGGCTTCCCTGGTGATGCAGTGGTTGAGAGTCCACCTGCCAATGCAGGGGACACGGGTTCGTGCCCCGGTCCGGGAAGATCCCACATGCCGCGGAGCAGCTGGGCCCATGAGCCTGCGCGTCTGAAGCCTGTGCTCCGCAACGGGAGAGGCCACAACAGTGAGAGGCCCGCATACAGCAAAAAAAAAAAAGGTAAAGGAAAAGTTTCTCTCCACTGAATGATGGAAAAAACAAAAGAACTTCTGAAAATAGTGAAAAAACCCAAGGCAGAATACCTCTTGTTAAATAGAATAAATTCTGAACCATCTGCTACCTTGATCAATCATGCTTTACAGCTGTCCCTATGCCTAAGGAGGACACACCCTATAAATTTGTTCCATCTCCGTGAGCCAAATCAGAGTGAAAAACCAAAAGATATATCTTATTGATAATTACCAGTAAAATCTCAAGTTAAATCAATATAATTATACCTTGAAGAGATACTATTCTTGAAAAACAACCATATATGTTCAATTAGTTTCTACTTATCATTGTCCTTGAGGGGAAAAAAAATGCAGTAATTAACAACAGGTTATTTAGAAGTAGTTTTAAAATCAGAACTGGAATCATGGTATCAGGTGGAAAAAATCCATGACGATTTTAAAATGATCTGAGTCTTCAACAGATCGTGAAGCATAACAAAACACAAAACCACTGAATCATATAAAAATGCTTATCACATAAAAATACTTTCACTTAATGTGAAATTCACAAAATGAAACAGAAAGGAGCATTTGTACGTGTTAAAATAATTTAATTCTCTCTGTACATTTCTGTCCACATGAGCCAAGAGAAGTCAAGAATGCATACTTTACAGTATTTACCTGTTCTGAGACATTCAAGTCAATTCGGATGGCAAAAGTAGAATTCAATCACCAATGAAATGTTTAAAAAATATATATTAAACAAAAAAAAGTTTCTACAAGATAAAAATAATCTCCCACAATGCAATAAATTGCAGATGACTGAAATTTTAACTCTTTAGATGATTTCAGTTCAGTTTTTGGTGTCAAAATCGAGAGACAATCAAAAAGAAAAAGCATTGGCAGGATTTCTATCTGTTTTTACGTTTCTCTTTTTTGCTTCGACTATCTGTTACACTGTTTAAAGATGATGACGAAGGTGCTCTTGCATGACCTGTGGCCTTTAGATGGTCAAAAAGTTTATTCCGGGATGGAAATTCACTATGGCAGGTTGTACAGCTGATAAGAACATCACTCTGAGAAGGGGAAAAAAAAAAAAGAAAAAACAACATAAAAAAAATAAACAAAAGCAAGTATTATTATCTGAGAGCAGCGTTTTCACGTTGAGATTAAATATCAAACAACTGCAAAATAAAGACCTTGTAACACAATGGACAGCTACTAAGACAGGCTCAACAGAGGCAGTTGTTCTTGGAAGTCGAGTTCCATTAACCTACACCATCAACTTTAAGGGTCCTGAGACATTCAACAGGACATACCACATGGATAAGGCTTTGGATTTCAGAGTAACGGAAAACAGAACAGTAACTGTTCTGGTACAATCTGATATGTCCAGTGTGCTTCTGCTTACTTTAAAGAAAAAAATGTCAGCGGCACATAAATTCTACGTTCGTCAAGGAAAACTGTTGATGGAGCCACATCTATGCAGCAGGTGCAGAAGGGCTCACCAAATACACACGTAACGTCTTCAGAATTAGAATTAAGATTATACTGCTTAAACAACAAGGTCCACTGAAGAGTTGTCAATATTATTTTGACCTACCACTGTCTGTAGTTCAGCAGGTACTCTGACAGATTTTTTAGTATCTTTGGCTTTCTTTCCTTTGGGTTTAGAAACACTGGAAAATAAATGAAAGAATTCAGTATAATCCAATAATAATGTACCCCTTTTAACTGTCACCTTGCTCCCAAGAAGACTAAAAAGAGTGACATGCATTTTAAAGGCTAATTCGTTCATTTTAATGGCCAAGTAAATTAGTTTTCACATCTCAAATAAACAGCTTTAAAAAACAACTTTAGAGATCATCAGATATCAAATTTGACACAAAAACGAAGGAATTTACTTAAAAGTTGAAACACAAGCTAAAACAAGAATACTAAAATAGCTCCGAACTTTTATATGGTGTATTTTTGTAAAAAAGCTAATTAATACTCCATTTACTGAAGCAAACCATCTTCACGGCCAACCAGTAGTACTCACAAATAATCTATGACATTAAGTGTGTGTTTCCCCAAAGACACAACTTGTTAAACCTGATCCAGTTGATGACAAACATTTCATCAGTTCCACAGTGAAATGAGAGAAACACTGTAATGCATTTTTTATAGAATTACATTTGTTAAATGTAAAGAATTTTCTTTTATTAAGATTTTGTCCTTTCTGCTGATCTGTGGGGTTTTCTCCCCTGTATTCTATAACCCAGAAATTGCCAGCCAGTATAGTCAGTTTCCTCCTGTTCTGCTTTAACTCCACAACATCCCTCTGGCTTAATCTGTATGAATTTTCATTTTCCTTAGTCCTCTCATACTTTTTCCCTCATTTGTGCTGACCAAATTCTTAGGGTAAAATCTGAGCACAACCGAATTTACAGACCAGAGGGAGTGGGTTATAGCCAATGAGTTACAATGCTGCCAAGCACTTGAGCATTCCATTCTTCGAGCGGAACCCAGGAGTCTGTATTAAGTTAAATGGCCTACACATTCACCCGATGCTGATTAGGAGAACAGCACAGCAGTATGCAGTATTCAGCCAGGTTTGAAAGCATCAAGAAAAAGACACCATGACATAAAAGGCAACAGATTAACATTTACTAATTTACAGAATATCATCACAGATAGGCCACAAATATATCCAAGAAAATTCAGGATAATATTCCCAAAGAACAATCCACCTTATTATGAAAGGCAGCAGCTACATCTCTGAAGCTAATATCTAAGACGTTATCTTTAAAAAGTACTCTAGAGAGGATATAATGTACAGCATATGAATATACTCGACAATACTGCCATAACTTTGTATGGCGACAGGCGGTTCCTAGACCTGCTGTGGTGATCAGTTAATGTAATGTATATAAATGTCAAATCACTATGTTGTATACCTGACACTAAAATAACATTGTATGTTAACTATATTTCAATAAAACAATAAAAAGGAAAAAAAAATAAAAATGTGCCCTAGATACACACACGTTTTAGGTAGCTAGTAGCATCCACGCACTGCAGAGCAGCAGCAGAGGGGACACCTGCCGGTGGGGGCGGGCTATCTATCCCAGCCCCGTCACTCCTCAGCAGTGAAGACACCATTTGAATTCTCTGACTCTTTTTCTCACATCATTAAGTGAGAAAGCTGAACTTCACGACTTCACTAGTAGTCGCGAAAGTCTGAGTTTGAGCAATGAGAACCCTTCTTCCTCCCCCAAATGAATCCCACAGTGGAGGTACTGTGGAAAATGAATGAAAATACTTTAGCTCTATGTGACGGAGGTGTTCAGGGGCCTGGAGCCCCACTTCTGGCCCATCCCTCATACACCCAAGCAGCCTCTGAGGGACTTTCACAGGATGCTTGGGCCCCGTGGAGCTAGCTGGACTGGGTCCTTCAAGTAGTCAGGCAGATGGGATTAAATGCCGACTTTCCCACTTACCAGCTTTTGTTCTCGGGCAAGTCATTTAACCCAGACTCAGTTTCCTCATGTTTAACATGGGAATACACACCAAGCATCAGAGCAGTGTGTAACCTCCCCTTCCAGCTTTCCACTGTCCAAAGTCTTCCAAGGCAGGCATCCAGGTTACCCGTGTATGGAGCTCCTTGTTCTCCTTTTCCTACAGCTCCAGGCCTACTCTAGGCTTCCATGGCATTTCTCTCCTCATTTATGGCACCTAAATCCCACACCCCTCACTGTTACTCCAGCGTTGAGCATTTTCAACTCAGGCTTCCACCTCACTCTGTCATTTGAACTCTTTTTTCATGGTCCTGTGACAGGAACCTGCGGTTGCCTACTGTTCAGACCTTTCCTCAAGGAATAAGAAATTATTCCGCTCCAGAGGAACAGAGGAGGATGGGAGCGAGAAAGTCAGACAAGGAGAGGAGGGGAAAAGGAATGCCACCTGCCCTGAGCGAGACCTTCCCCTGGCCAGCCGCTGTGGCCTGTGCAGCACCAGGACTCCCGGGCCTCTAGAGCACGAGGGCCCCAAGCTGTGCACATATGCCCTGACGACCTGCACGGGGGCTGAAGGCAGGATGCCTGGCCCGAGCATGGAGGTTTGGTCAGTGATACTCAGGCGAATGGGGCACAGTCTTGTCTGTAGTCTTGTTCTCAGGCAAGTGCCAAGGATTACTGACCCTGGGCAAAATAAGAACCTGAGCAGGATAAAGGGAACAAAAACTGGGTCCACGTGACTCCTTTCTGCTTTGGGCCATGTTGCTGCAATGTCTGAGCACACTGTCTAGCATTCTCCCTCCAACACCGTCCTCTGTAAACGTACGTGTGTAGGTGTAAATCACAGATACATCTGACTCATGGCGTCCATCACGGGAAAGGGGGTTTTATTTGATAGATGAAAAGCCATCCTCACCACCAGCATTAAGTAATTAGAAAACAACAAGCAACTCTGACTTACTTACCTTTTAGCTTCACTTTTGGGGTCATCACACCGTTCCACAGTCTCTGTAACACCGACATTTTCTTGGGGACTATCTTCCAATCCTTTGGCACTGCCTTGATTTAGGCTGTTATCTTCTGGATCAACCTTTACTGCTTCTCCAGTTCCATTTTCATTGAAATTATCATCATAATTCTAGGTAAGAAAACATGTGTGCCATTACAAAACAAATAATATACTACTACTGGCTTTTTATGTTATGTTGCCAAATAGTTACAATAAACAATGGTAATGTGCTGTACACTCTGGTAGGAGGATATCTTCAGGAAATAAAAAGGAGAGGCAGGGGCTTCCCTGGTGGCGCAGTGGTTGAGAGTCCACCTGCAGATGCAGGGGACGCGGGTTCGTACCCCAGTCCGGGAGGATCCCACATGCTGCGGAGCGGCTGGGCCTGTGAGCCATGGCCGCTGAGCCTGCGCGTCCGGAGCCTGTGCTCCACAATGGGAGAGGCCACAACAGTGAGAGGCCCGTGTACCGCAAGAAAAGAAAAGAAAAAAAAAAAAAAAAAAAGGAGAGGCAGACAATAACTTAAGAACATGAATGCCCATTACAGAAATATTAAATTAGGGAAAATTGGAAACAATCCAAATATTCAATAAGTGAATGGTTGAATATATGAAGGAAAATTATAGAGCTCTTAAAAATCATGTTTCCAAAGATATTGATTCAATTATGTGAAAAAATAGAACATATTAGCAAAGACGGTAGAGAGAAAATTATATATAACCTCTGATCACAACTCAATTCAACATTAAGTAATATCTATAGACAGAATTAGGGATGATATTTATACTCTTCCATATTTTCCAAATGATCTGCAATGAGCAACTATTTTACAATCAGGAAAAAAAGAAAACACCACCAAACAGGCATGATAAAAGAAAAAACACCTGACTAACACATCTTCACTAAATACAACTGATTTGTTTTTGTCTCAGGTAACATTTTGCCATGTCTGCTTTCTCCCTCTCTTCTTCCCATGTTCCTTCTCTCTGCACCCACCCTCCAACTATGAAAGCAAGCTGCAGGTAGATCTCACGTATCTCCTAAGAACAGAAACACTCTCCTACATAACCACAATTCCCTCTTCACACTCAAGAATTTAACATTGACATGATCTGTTACACAATCCATATCCACATTCCAGTAATGTCCTTTTTTGTAACCCCTGCATTATAGTAGATATAATCCAGGACCAATGTTGCATTTAGTTGTCAGATCTCTTTAATCACCTTTATTCCAGAACAGTACCCCCCCTCCATTTTCTTGGTCTTTCATGATATTGACAATTTGATGGCTGCTTTGTAGCATGTCCCATAGTTTGACTTTAATTACTTCCTCGTGATTAGATTCAGGTTAAACATTTCTAGCAAGAATATCATAAAGATAATTCTGTGTCCTCAATACATTATATCAGGAAGCAAAATGTCAGTTCCCATTTTTCAGTGATTAAAGTTTCATCATTTGATTAAGATGGTATTGCCAGGTTTTTCTACTGTTAAGTACCTTTTTCTTTTTTTAATATGTGCAGAGTGTTACTTTGAGATTGTGTCAATATCCTGTTCCCTAATAACTATTCACCCAATGGATCTGGCATCTACTGATGATTCTTATGTGAACCATTTATTACACTGGTGGATACAGAACAGTGATGTTTTCTGCTTCTATTAGTCCTGCCATTTGCATGTGTGTTAATTCATATTCTTGGAATGAAGCATTCCCATCTGCTTCCTTTCTCCAACTCTCTCTTTTTTTAGGCTCAATATAGATACACGATTTTTTTTTAATAAAATAAATGTCTAAAAATCTATGACCACTATTCTTTTTGATGACTCAAATTTTCCCATATTCGGCAAGCCCTTAAGCTGACTCCTGGGTACTTCTGACTTATCCCCGTCAATTTTTGAATACCTCTTATATTTCTAGCATAGATAATGCAGGCTCACCTTGTATTTTCCCTGTTTCAGCCCTAGAATCAGCCATTTCTCCAAGGACCAAACCCTGACTCCTTTTACTGGGCAAGGGGATTTAGAGACAAAGATGTGTGAACTACATATGCTCATTGCTACTGGGTATCACTGCTTCTGGGCCCTCAGTGTATACTGCTCATGCATGTATTATTTATTTTTTTATATCACGAGCTCATACTGATACCCCCAATTCCAGTCCAACATTAGTGTTCTTCCTCTCTCTTTCCCTCAATTGATACCTGTATTTCCCTTCTCCCACAAGAGAATATGGTTCCCAACAACATTAGTATATTTGCTCTATCCTACAATACACATAAGATAGTTTCAGAAATACCACACCAATACCACCAAAATGTCCCCTAAGTAAAGCTCAAGATTTCTTCTTTTAGAGTTAATTCTGTCTTTAGAGCATGTCCCAAGGATGGTGTTCAGAGCAGCACATTCTAAACTTTTTTGCGTTAATTCTTCCTTGCTGTCAACAAGGGAGTTTTGTTTGTTTACGTTCAATTTCAGCTTTGGGGGTTTTCGTTTACAATCCTCGCTGGCTTATGCAAATTTTTCTGACAATACAGAAAACTCCCAATCTGAAGTTTCATGAGTCTCAGTACCTGCTGCTTCCTGCTCTTTTACCTACCCGTACGTGTCTCCACACTACCCTCCCCTTCAAAAAGAGCTTAGAAAATATCCAGGGAAAGTGCTACATAAAACTTGATCTGAATTGGGGCTGTCTCCCTGATATAATTAGAAACCATAAACAAGAGGTATCATCAAGGAATACATATAGCTTTGGAGGGAAAAAATGGGCTGGTAAACAGAAGCATTTTCCTTGGTAAGAGAATACAAATACATGTGCTTATTGTTGCAATCTTTAGGACCTATCAGGTATAAGTCCCTCTCCATTCCATTTTGTCTTCACTCCAGTGGTTCCGACACACAAGAGAGAAAGTGTTCTAAACAAATGACTACAGAGTCTTTGGGTGGAAGATGATATGAGTCATTTTATAAAAGGAACATATAATTTGCTATGTGGTTTTGTAACTGAGACAAAAAGTTCCAAGTCACAATTTTAATAGTGATTAACTCATGTGTCATGTATCATCTTGGAATATGAAAGACAAAATTATCAAACATATTATAGACATTTGGATAAAATCTAAAGATTTATGAAAAATTATTAGTGTCTTACCTAAGTTTTCTTAAAAACATTTCCAATTTTTAAAAAGAGCTACATTTAACATTTAATACTTAATATAAGCAAATACAATTAGATTATATTAAAATAGCACAGAAATCAATTCCATTCCCTGTAGAACTACCAAATACCCTTAGTAAAATGGGCAAGTTCATTTTGATTTTATAGATTCAAAAAATCCACAAGACTGTGTTATACATATAACAACACAATACCCTTTTATTTAATAATAATTCTTAAGATAAGAGGTTAAGTTTGGACCCCCCAGTATGAAATATTTAAACTTGAAAAAACTTTTTTTTTCAAGAATCACAATCATTACAAGTTTCTAAGCAAATGCTCTTTTAACCACTTTTTTTTAATGAAGTATAGTTAATTTACAATGTTGTATTAGTTTCAGGTGTGCAGTAAAGTGATTCAGTTACACACATATATATTATTTTTCAGATTCTTTTCCATTATACGTTATTACAAGATATTGAATATAGTTCCCCATGCTATACAGTAGGTCCCTGTTGGCTATCTGTTTTATATATAGTACTGTGTACATGTTAATCCCAAACTCCTAATTTGCCTCACCCCCACCACCACTATCCCCTTTGGTAACCATAAGTTTGTTCTCTATGTCTGTGACTCTACTTCTGTTTTGTAAGTAAGTTCATTTGTATCATTTTTTTTTGATTCCACAAATAGGTGGTATTTTATGATATTTGTCTTTGTCCGACTTACTTCACTTAATATGATAATCTCTAAATCCATTCATGTTGCCACAAATGGCATTATTTCACTCCTTTTTTATGGCTGAGTAATATTTCATTGTGTGTATATATACTGCACCTTCTTTATCCACTCATCTGCTGATGAACAATTAGGCTGCTTCCATGTCTTGGCTATTGTAAACAGTGCTTCTATGAACACTGGGGTGTATGTATCTTTTCAAATTAGAGTTTTCTCCAGACACATGCCCAGGAGTGGGTAAGCAAATGTTCCCTTTCCGAAATTTCATGTACATTATTACAATGATCAATCCCAATCCCCAGATTTTCATGTATTTCTGAGTTGAACTGTTATATTGATTTAAAAATCTTGTCATCACATGTGTCCAAATATTTTTTAAATATGGTCCCCTCAGCTAATCTGTATTATGGGAATTCCACATGCCAAATTTTTAAACACACAGACAACAATAACTAGGTAAACTGGCCACATATATATGAGGTAAAGCACTGAAAAACCAAAATATTTTCAACTCCTTTTAATCTGTTTTACAATCAACATGAAATTAGGGAGCGACAGTCCCTCTCCTTAATACAGATTATGCTGAATAACCAAGAGCACTCCAACTTTACATCTGATATTAAATGTTAATAAAACTTTTTCAACATACCTGTGCTGGTTTCTGTTTCTTTTTCTTCTGTTTTTTAGAAAGCCTAAGAACAAATATAAATCAAAACGTCAAATACTTGACTAAGTGGAAAGAAAAAATACTGAAATATTAGTGATACAAACAGAAATAAGATATTAAAACATATTTAATATCATAAAGCATTAAAATAAAAATATCCACATTATCATTTTAGAAAAATGTTAACAGTGGTTCAATTGATAGTAGTTAGCATATCAATTACCCAGTTATAAAACCGATTTTAATAGTCATAATATAGTCTATAAAAATTATATCTGACATCATGTCTTTAACCATTTCAATACTATAAAGTTCTCTTAACTAGAAGAAACACAGAAAATATTAGCATAACAGAATGACTTCTTTGAGATAAAACAGCACTTAATGCAATCTCTAGTGTGCTAAGTAGGTGTAGTGACATTTTTAGAAGTACTTTTGTTTTGGTGCATCCTCCATTTCTTCCTCAGAATTGGCATCCAGACTGTTTTCATCAGTTTGAGGTCCTGAAAAATTTGCTTCCTCCTCCTCCAACTGTTGTTTTAACAAGGCAACCATTTCCCGATGCTTCTTTGATTTTTCATGATTCCTCATGCTGAAAGAACAAGCTGGTATGAGTGACTGCAACGGGATTAATTCACAAGAGTAGTTTACCTCCTTTTGCTTTTTTCCAGAGGGGTCTCCCTTCTCACTGCCACTACCCTAAATGTAAACTAAGACACACCTCTACCATTCTGTGTGAAATTCCATAAGCAATGTCTAGTTCAGTGCCCCCATGGGCAACTAAATAACACTTCACAAAACAGAACTGACAACACTTAAGCTATGAGAGTTATATAAACTAAAAAGTAGAAAACTCGTGTCACCACTTTATCTCATCCTGTTCAGATCTGGATTTTTCTAGTTGGGGTTGCCTACTTTTCATTCCCACTAAAATTCTCTCCTTAAGACCAAGGTTCCTTAGAGAAATTGGAACATCTTGTGCCAGAAAGTGAGTGCTCAAAAATATGGCTGGGACATGTCAGAAGGACACAGGAGCCACGTTGAAGGAATTCTCACTAACCACATCTGGGAAATTTGAGCATGAGAAGGGCAACAATGAATTTTAAAGCACTGAAAAGAAATTCATACTGACAACAGACAGGTAAATGTTCTTGTGCACAGCAGAAGGTCAAATGATGACTTATGATGTAGGAGCACTGGCACTGGAAAAGCCTCGTTTTGAAATGATTAGAGATAAGACTGGTACAAGCTGAAACCATCAGTGGGTGCTAAATCCAGGAAGGAAATTTTGATGAAGAGAAAGATATTTGCATGGCTTTAAAGTGTCTCCCCGCATATTAAACACGCTGCAAGGGAAAAAATACTAACTATACAGTGGAAAAACAAGACAACACCTTGACTGGATGATCAAAATGATCACCACCAATGAGGGGCAGACAGACTTCTGTCCTTCCAGATAGAAACCCTGAGAGCAACACATGCTTACACAGTACTCCAGCTAGGAATGCACAACCTGAATCTAATCATGAGGAAATGGACACACCCAAATGAGAAATAGTCTGTTTTTAAAAAACATTTTAAAGGTCAGTTCTCTTCCAAAATGTCAATGGCACAGAAACGGGAACTGGTCCAGATTAAATGAGACTAAATAAATAAATGCAATACATGATCCTAGATGAGATCCTGTACTGAAGTTGGGAAAATGCTACATAGGACATTAATACAGGATCAACTGACAAAAGCGAAATATAGGCAGTAAATGGAATAAAAGTACTACATCAACGTTATAAATTTCCTGAAGTTGATGGCTGTGATTATGTAGAAGAATGTCCTTATTCTTAAGAAATATATACTGAAGTGTTCAAAGGTAAAGGAGCACTATGTATGTAACTTACTCTCAGATTATTCAGAAAGAACCTTGTCTGTGTGTGTGGAGAGAGAACGAGCACGTGCAAATGGGGCAAAATGTGAGCAACAGGTGAACCGGGCGCTCTACAGTCTATTCATGCAACTTGTCCGTAAGTTTGACGTCCTTTCCAAATACAAAAACTACTTTTAAAGCCTCCTTCATCGTTGCTTTTGTTCCCTTGCTTGTTTCTGCCCACCCTGCGCCACTCCTCCGGCTACGCTATCGCTCTTCCCTGGGGTTACACAGTGACACCACTCAGAACTCCCGAGCTCCCTTTCCATCCTTTGCCTCCTCCTTCTTTACTGCACGTGTTTTGCTTCCTTTCCCCTTGCTAATTCTACTCTCATCTTTTCCCAGATTCTAGCCGGCCCCTCCCCGCCTGCCTTATGATAGTATCCTTTCTAATACTGCTCTCTTCGTGACTGTTCCCCTAAGATAAAGTTCTTCGACTTCAGCAACTATACTACAGGCAGGACACATCTGAAGTTCTCGGGCTGGTGGCAACGGTCCTCACGGGAGCATGACGGCTGGAAGTGAGTTTGCACCAACTGTGGAGAAAGATGACTGGCCTCAGTTTAGCCCCCTTGCCTGTGTGACTCTGCCTTCCTCACCAAAGCAAGCAACGTTTCTTTCTGGAGATAGCGTACACGTTTAAAAAGCAGCTATTACACAGGAACATCACATGAATGAGAATCAGTCCAACAGGCTTACCTGCTGGTACAAATCCTTCTTCCTCCCCTGCTGGGAAGATATCCCCCAAGATGACAGGTGAGGGCTAGTGACCAACTGCTACAAGCATTTTTTTTAGGACTTTCAAAGTGCTACACTTCACCTCAAAAGAGGAGGTGAGTTCAAAGGTATTAAACTTACGCCTTTTCCGTCTTGAAAGATTTGTCACATGCTGGGCAGTAAAGGCTATCATAAAGTTCTGCATCCTCAGCCTCGTCACCATCTTTACCTATGAGAGGGAAGCCTACAGTTAAGAGTCCTGTTTGATTAGAACATAAATCTAAAACATGTTAACAAGTAACATCTCTTCAGTAAGTATCTAGAGTTGCACACATATCAGAAACTAAAATTTGTTGCTTCCTCACCAAGAAAAAACAATGTTACCGAGATTTGAGTTGGCCTTTTAAAAGCAGCACTGAATTATACAGGAAGGCTTCCAAACAGATAACTTTACCTTTCAAGTTCTTTTCATAAGCCTACTTAGAAGAAAATTCAAAAAATTCTCAGAGTCCTAGGTATGGGCTAAGTTCAGAAAATCAAATGTCATTTTCATAGTTCTATAACAAAGCAGTTTTTTCAACAAAGGTGTTTTAGTTTATCTCTTGAGCAAGATTTGGTGTGAACACATGTATAATTGTAATCTACTCTTAATGCTTAAATAAGCTTAGTTTATGACATTCCGTCATTATTAGAAAGACAGGTCATAAAATAGCGTATTACACGTAAAGTTTAACATTATCTTTACAGACTTTTATAAACTTGAAGCTTTATTACAACGGAATAATTATTATCAATATAGACCACAAAATCTAAGCTCAGTTGAAAGTCTTTGCACAATCCCATATTCTATCTTTATAAGAAATAAACAAGTAAACTGATTGCCATTTTGGATTTACTATGGGATCGATAAAGAACCCAAGGTATCTCTTCTATATTCTACATTTTTTTTAATAATAAGTAATGGTAATATGATTCTGAAGGACATTCTCACTGAAATCATAAATGATCAAAATACCTCCAATGTTTCGTATAAGATACTTTCTAATTATGTGTACACTTTCAAATAGTTTGATTATTCAAATAGTTAATAAAGAATGCTGGATTTGAAGTCAAAATCTGGATCTAAGAATGCTCTTATATGTTCTCAGACATATGCCAGAGCTTCTCAGTAACAAAGAGATAACTATATGAGCAAAACCTACATATAAGGGACATAGCGTGAGGATCAAGCAAGACCTTCTATGTGAAAGCACCTTATAAACTGTAAAACTCTACGTAATTATGCCACCTCACATTTACACAGTGCTTCATAACTATCAAGGCACTTTCACACATACTACTTGCAATTCATTAAGAAAACATTTAATTTCCTGATCACGTGGAATAAATAAAAGTCTGTCATTTTATCATTTGAGCTATTAGTCTGAAAACCAACATTTGTAAGTAAGGTAAAATTAAGTAAACCATGTTTAGATCAGTTACTTTTATTTCTCATGGAACAGCCAGAGACAGTGGAGAAAGTCAGGTATAGCAATCACTATTCTCAACAATGCCCAATCCTCTCCTTGTAAGGTAGTCACATGCCTGTGCTCTAATGATAGAGGAAGAGAAAAGACACATTTCAGGACACGAAGAGAAGCTCCTCTACAAGTCAGAAATGAGACAATTTATATATGCCAGATAGACTCGTGCACAGTATCAGCTCTTCTGGAAAGAGTTACTATTAAAACTTGACCTACTGCTTAACTGCATTTTTTAAAAATAACCAGTTACACCTGACAATATGCCCATTTCTCAATATATTTATGCAGCCAAATGGTTCAAAACATGGTCAGAAAAGAGTTCGTTAATGAAATTACTGCAATTATACTACTTCCATAGTCTACCTTCACTTGGCCATGCCAAATTATTTTTCATTTCAATTATCTGCCATATTTAAAAACTGGGAGATGGCACATAAAAATCCAGTTTTCCAGCCTCACTTTAAAAACAAACAAACCAAACAAACATGAAACTGGCAACAATCGGCCGGAACCCAGGTGTTCTCCAGATTTTCATCTGCCCTCCCATTCGTTGTTGTCTCACACCTGAGCCCTTTATGGACATCTGTGAGCATCCTGAGTGCACAACCCCTGAACACAAAAACATTTATTTCCTACAGTTTCTTAGTGAATGGAGGAAGTTACCATCCTGTCCGTCTTGGAGTTCCCGTTCTTCCGCTTCATCTTCACCTGATCCATCTCCAAACTCCTTTTCATACTGCGCCTCCATCTCCCTGAGCTCCTTCTCCAAATCGGCCACCGTCATCCAGCTCTGCTCTTTGTACTGCTCTGCCAGTCTAGACACACACAGCACAGTCTCTGCATTGGTTTTATTTATTTTGGGGGCTTAAAACCCATCCCCTGGAGAGCTTCTTCCTCCCAAATTGTCAGCGCCTACAAACTTAAAACCTGTGCTTGGCTGAAACAGGCAAAGTCACTTAAATCTGTTATCTGTTATGTGGTTGATTTTAATTGCTCCACTAGATAATGGGTTTTGAAACATATAACTCTTCGCAACTTAATAAAAGTCTTCAGGTGGGGACTTCCCTGGTGGCGCAGTGGTTAAGAATCCGCCTGCCAACGCAGGGGACACAGGTTCAAGCCCTGGTCCGGGAAGATCCCACATGCCACGGAGCAACTAAGCCCGTGCGCCACAATTACGGACCCTGCGCTCTAAAGCCCATGAGCCACAACTACTGGAGCCCATGGGCCTAGAGCCCGTGCTCTGCAACAAGAGAAGCCACCGCAATGAGAAGCCCACACACTGCAATGAAGAGTAGCCCCCGCTCGCCGCAACTAGAGAAAGCCCGCGCACAGCGACAAGACCCAACGCAGCCAAAAATAAATAAATAAATAAAATTTATTTTAAAAAAAAAGTCTTCAGGTGGTTTTAAACCGTAAGTGTCATGTAAAGTGCTAATTTTTCAAAAGATGAGGTGGGTAGAACTTTCAAGAAGTGAATAGTTTTTTAAAGAATGCTATAATGCTCTGGACACAACGCCTTTACAGTGACTCAAAACAACAAAACTTTAAAGGCACTGAGATGAACTAAATATCTAAGCGTATACGGACAGAGTATTGTGTGGTACTTAAAAGCAGCGCACTGGACTGACTTCTAGGGTCCAGTTCCCACCTCTGCAATTTATTAGCTATGTGATCTTGGGCTTCATTTCTTCAAAAGAAAGGATAAAAACCCGAACTTACTTCACAGAATTGTTGCAAGAAAAGCACTTACAACATGGCCTTGTACAGAATGAGAATTCGATTAACGTCAGTTATTATTAAACGTTACAAGAGTCTGAAAAGAATCTCAAGTATAAAGGGCCTCTGAAGGAAAACATCCAACTCAAAAGAAAAATTTTTTCACAGCAGATGAAAAGACATCGTCCAATGCCAGAATGTAGAAGAAAGGGATGTAGGCAGAATGAGGATTAAACTCCCCATGAAAGCACCACGCCAGGTAACCACTGATGCTTGCTGGGACCAGCACCTACTCATAGACAGGGTCCAGCGAGCACCACATACTTGGCCTGCTTTAGCTTCTGCTGCCGCCTCATTGCTTCGGCTTTCCTCGCCTTCTCTGCGTTCTGTTCTTCCACAAGTTTTCGATGAGCCTGCACTCTTCTATCTCTTTTACGGATGAAAGCTACCAGCTGACGGACAAGCTCGTTCTTCTCTTTCCTTGCTTTGTCTCGAATCTTTTTGTTCTCTTTTTCCATGGCTCGTTTCTCCCAGTGGTTTGAAGCCTGTCGTGTATCATATTCTTCTTTCCAAGCAAAGTTCTTCTGAGTGCAGAAACTCTGCCAATAAGCGTAGAAAGGATGGACTACCTAGTGACAAAGAAAACAGGTAAAATGCTAGATTTTTATTTGGATTTCTTTTTCAGTAAGGCAGCAAATATTGCTGATGCAAAACATCTAACCTCCTTTCTTCGTATATACAACTTTACTATTAATCAACAGAGAAGACAGTCCTTTGAAGGCTTTACAAAATAACTCTTCAGAATGAATTTGATGAGGAAATTAATGGAATGGGACCAAGATCACTAAATAGTGAAAAGACGGGAGGCGATCAGGAAAAGAAAGAGAGGAAGAGAGTCACAGTAAAAGACTGAGAACTAGAACCCTTCTTCTTAAAATAAAAAAATAGGGAGAAGATACACTGACAAATGCTAATTACAAAATGGCAATGAATTTTTCTTCTACCGTATCATAGTCACTCTGGGAGTCTCCAAAAGTTGGGAAATCCTCAACATCCTCTTCTAAAGAAGATTCTAGTTCTTCCTTGGCAATCATTTCAAAAACATTACGATACACTGTATAAAAGCCCTAAAAAACAGAAACACAAATTCTTAACACTCTTGTAGTTTAATTATAGAGTAAGATTTTAAAATGCAACATGAAAAACTTTAATGTTACAGAATTACAGTCCCAAGCTCAGTCACTGAAAGTACATTTAGTTTTCAACTGAAGGTCTTTATATGCTGACAGTTTAAATATGAAAGCTCTGTTTTTCAGTTTCCAAAATGAACATTCCTTCACCTTCTATTGTAGAATAATTTTAGGAATTCTCTTTGCATTTGAGAGTCTTACTTAAGTACTTGATAAGAAATTATCAGTGAGTTCATTTCTTACCTTTTCATCATCTCCATAACCAGAGTAACAGGTCACAGTGAAATAGTGAAGCAAATCTAAGCTGTCATCTTGATACTCTCCAGCAAGCCCACCTTTAAGCAGAGCCTCTCTATGATTATCATACCTAAACCAAAAAAATTAGCGACATCAGTGAAGGCTGAATAAATAAGAATTCAAAAGGATTCCTTACTCTGAAACAGTCAAAATATAATTATTGTACATTTTAACATGGTCAACCCACAACCAAAAAATCTGAAGAAAAATATCAACAGGCAAAGACTTAATAATCTTTCACAGAAGTGCTGATTAAAACTATGACTGCAACTCCCAGTACGTTACAGGCAGTATACGGTACTAGCCAATACGAAGAGGGGAATTTAATGAGCCAGGGAATGTCCGTGACTCTCCCAGAAACGTAGCTGCACTTTCACACGAAAGAGACCTTACTAAATAAGACAGTAGTGGACATCATCTGGTCCACAGGCTAACTACACATTTGGGATCTGGGAATTTACCAACATGGACCAGAATAAAACTCTTCTAATGTTTATGTAAACAATCTAGGAGCTTCATACACATACAACTGCCCCTCACTCTGTAAAGCTGGTTATTACCCTCATTTGATATAACAGGAAACTGAAGCTCAGCAATATTACATAACATTGTCCACAGTCATAAAGCCAATGAGCAGCAGAGCTAGAATTCAAAACCACGTGTCCTGCACCAGAGGCCCATGCTCCTCGCCACCGTGCAGTACTGCCTCCAGATGACAGGAGAGTTAATAGGCAGGGCCTTCAAACAAAAAGACAAGGGGATCCTCGGGACAAGAAAACAGCCTAAGATCTAGAGAAGAGCTAGAGTAAAAGGAAGGCAGGAAAGAATTTCAAAGTTTCCAAAGGAAGGCAAAAGCATTTCTTAAGGCCAGATTTCCAAATTCCTCAGGAGGAGAAAAATTTAGGATTCTCTGATTTTTATATAAAAGATAATTTAATAAGAATTTTCCTCCAGACGCAGCCTCTGAGTCGCCCGGCACCTTCTGTTTGGTCAGCGGCGTAAGGGTCTCGCCGAGGCGCGTCGTCCGCGCCGCTCGGCCCGTTGTACGCCCGTGCGCTCGCCCGCCCACCCGGCCCGCGGAGCTCCTGCCCGTGTCCCCCGGCTGGCCTGGGGGTCCGGGCACCGCCTCGATGGCGGCTCTGCCTGACGCGCGGACTGGACCGCAGCCCGTAACCCGAACGGACGGCGTCATGAGGCACCTGCCGTACTTCTGCCGCGGCCAGGTGGTGCGGTTCGGTCGCGGCCCCAAGCACCTGGGCATTCCTACAGCTAACTTTCCTGAACAAGTAGTAGATAATCTTCCGGCTGATGCATCCACTGGCGTATATCATGGTTGGGCCAGTGATGGAAGTGTAGACGTCCATAAGATGGTGGTGAGCATAGGATGGAACCCATACTACAAGAATACAAAAATGTCCATGGAAGCTCATATCATGCATACTTTCAAAGAGGAATTCTATGGGGAAATTCTTGCTACCTCAGATCAGAAAAGAACTGATTCTTTAGAGTCACTTATTTCAGCAATTCAAGGTGATACTGAGGAAGCTAAGAAACGACTAGATTTACCGGAACATTTGAAACTCAAAGAAGACAATTTCTTCCAGGTTCCTAAAAGCAAAACAATGAATGGCCACTGATGGAAAAGCATCTTATTTATTCATTCACTGTTTTCTAATATTTTACTGCTCATAACTCTACAGTCTCATCTTGGTTATATTTTAAAAATCAAACATTTTCCTACAGCTGTGAATTAAACAGTCCAATGTAGTTACCATATTATGTTCCAGCTGTTCAACTAAACCCACCATGTTACAGGACTAAAAAGGTTCATTTTAAAAATCAAGATGCTTTTTTATGTAATATGTTGATTAAAATGTACCACTAGAAAGGCCTTAAGTGTTTTACAATGGGAATGAAATATATATAAATATGGGTAACAGGCAAGTCACTAGCTTGAGATGAGAACTGTAACTCTCACGGTAAAGTTCTAGCATGCATGTGCCTGTATAGCATGCTCTGCTAGTCAGAAGGCTTATAAAAGTAACTATATTAAGCAGAGGCTAGACAGTTTACTACAAACTTAAGGGAAAAAAATCCAGACTTTGTATTTTTGATATTTTGCACATTTATTTATTATTATAGACATGAAGACTTGAGAAATTTCATTTTAGTCAGTCATTTCCTTTAAGGGCTCAAATCACTGTACTGTGTTCCATTTTTGTTACAGCTGCCTCAGTTCTAATTGGTCTAGACTCTCTCCCTATTATTTTTTTGTTTTTCTTTTAAAACAGTAAAATGAGTGTTTTTGGAATCTCTAGTTCTCATTTTTGTCTTGTAAAACACTTCTCTCTTTCTAAGGGTAGATATTCTTCAACATTTTTCTTCACCTTTGTTTCCTGTAAACAATTGTCAGTGTCAGTTCTTCCATTTAGAATATCCAACTCTACATTTACAAAATGTAGAGTTTCATCTGCGTCTGTATCTGCCATCCCATCCCTTCACTATATGAACAGTGATTAAGCACATATCTCTTGCATTTTAGAAAAAACGCCCAAAAGTTCATCTGTAGGTTTCCTCAAAGTTTAAACGAACACCTAGCATTTCATTTATCTGTATCAGTTTCTTAAACAACACAAAATACTTGTTTCCCCCCCCCAGGGAAACTATTTAAGAGCCAACTAAACTATGAACTACAAAGTTATTTGTTTTTAATGTGATTATATGCTCCTGAGCAAATGCCAACTGTTGTAGTTGTGTGTACACAATGTAATTTAAGGCTAAAGAGTGTTATCTAGAATTTTAAAGATAACTCATTATAAAACCATTTTTCCCTAATGTGCATAAATGAGAGAACTGATTTTAACAAAACTGTTTATATAATATTTAGAAGAACATCTAAAGCTAATGTTGGAGAAGGGGGAAGTAGGAATAAATTCAGTTGGATTGTTTGAGTTTTTGGTGTATGAATTTATGGTAAACAATGTAGTATGTGTCTTTTTCATTTCTTCTTTATAGAAATACTTCAAAAATGTAATTTAATGTTAGAAATCCTATACTTGAAAGAAGCCTCAATTATCAGTGGTTCTATGAAACAAAGTTAAAAACAAACATGGAAAGTGTAAAAAAGATTTGTGTTTGTGTGAGTAGCTTGTGACAGGTTGTGTCCTCATTAAGTGTGAAAATTCTTTGATATTGTCACCTTACATTTTGTTAAATAACTATTGCTTTTGAAAAGCCTATAGTGTGTGGTTTAGGAGTTAGTTAATAGTGTCTACATTTTTTTAAGTTTTATATTATTTATATATTATAAGAAATTGCAGTAGGGCCATTTTCGATTAGTTGGTGTTTTCAGGCCTTGAAATAAAATTTTGACCAAGTGAAAAAAAAAAAAGAATTTTCTTTACAGCCTTTCTCTCTTGACAGCTGGCCGTGCTTGTATGCTATCACACAGAAGACTTGCACGGGTGAACTGAACACCCACCTGCTCTGCGGGATCTTGCACAGTTATGTCAGGACTTTGTAGCAAAAAGTTCACTGAGAATCTGGAAACCCAGAACTTCAAACGGAGAAATTTTTGTTTGGAAATGGCATTAAATGATTGGGTCATCATGAGTTAAAGAATCTGTCATAGATGTAGAAGCTTAACTCAATTTCTTATATAAAGTAGTTCTTGGGAAAATATTACAATTCTTGATGAAAACACTATATCTGTTTTTTAAGGAAAAGTCAACATTCTTCCTTTTCTGACATCAGTAAATTTGTCAGACATCAAAAAGACCTTATTCAAAGAGAAGGTACTTCATAAGTATCAAAATTATAACTATCTACGATTGCCAAGCTTTGTGTTTCATCATCTATAATATCAGAGTTGGAGTAATCATCTCTAAGGTTCCTTCCTATCAACACACTGCATTTTATATAATGAACAGGTGACTGGTGCTTTAGAACACACCCCAAACCATTTAATATATTAAATTTTTTAAAAACCCTCTGTTGACCATTCTTCCCAACAAGATACACAAGGAGGGACAGCGTGATGCTCACCATGCTCTTTCCTGAGGGTCGCTTAGCACATCATACGCTGCTTGGATTAGTTTAAATTGTTCAGCTGCTTCTGCGGCATTATCCAGATTTTTATCTGTTAAAATAAAGGCACAGAAATTCAGTCATCAAAAAAGTAAAGGACAGACTCTAAAAGGGACCTCTTCCATCAGAAATGCCATACATAGATGAGTGTACAAAAATGAAGAAAAACAACTAAGGAAAACCAGAAAATGGATGACAGCTGATAATCAGGATCTGTTATAAGTGGGAACTTGAGTAGAAATTTCATGCTTTTCTCTAACTCTCAGTGCGTCACTGAGCACTCAACCTGGATATCCACAAACAGAAAATGCTGAGTGGTACACATTTTATTTTTAGAAGGAATAAAATACATAAATCAATCATTTATAGAAAGGCTGTTACTATTCAGTGCTAGATTATGTTTAATCCACCTTTACCACCATCCTTAAGGTTTTCTTTCTTACCAGCATATACCAAAATAAATCTCATAAACTTTACAAAGGATGTGCTAACTAATTACTTTTCCCCTAATTAGTTGTGCTTCCTTAACTGCGGAATTCAGAAAGCATCTTTGCCTCAGGGTGGTAGCCAGCTTCCAAGATGGCCCCCAAGGACCCCCACCTCCTGGCACTCATGCCCTGTGTGGTCCCCTCCCATGTCACCGGGGTTGGTCTCTGTGACCAAAAGCAGGTGGCAGGAGTGGTGACGGTACAGGATATTACTTCCAAGATTAGATCATGAAAGACTGCAGTTTGCATCTTGGGCGCTCACTCTCTCTTGGATCGCTGGGAGTAGCCAGCTGCCACAGACACTCCAGTGGTCCATGAGAAGCCCACGTGGTGAAGAATGGAGGCCTCCGGCCCACAGCCAACAAGGAACTGAGGCCCGCCATTACTGTGGGGGTGAGCTTGAAAGTGGGTTTTCCCAGACAATGGTGATTCAACCTGGTGAGAAAGCTTGAGCCAAACCACCCAGCTACACCATTCTGATTCTGATCCCCAGAAACCGTGTGAGTCCGTATTATGAAAATATTTGCTAAAAAAAAAGAAAGTATTTGCTGTTTGTTGTTTTAAGCCCTAAGTTTTCAGTAATTTGTTACACAGCAGTAGATAACTAATACACTCAGAAAGTAAAATATTTTGAACCTACCGTGGAGTACATCAATGTTCTTTAAGCTACAACTCAATATCTGCCTCTAAGAAAAAAATATGACAGAAGTAGTCTTAAAACAAGGCCCTCAAGAGTATCCTACCTCCTCTTTTCAGATACCATTACACAATCCCAAGTCCTTCAAGCGGCCTTCTGCTCAACAACTGACACAGACAACACTTTCTCAAGTGCAGCAATTTGCCATAGCTCTTTTTACTAAGATGCTTTAACACAAAAAGCTTTAGATATAGAATCATGCTCCCCTGGAATTAAAAAAAAAAGTAATAAACAGAAACAAAAAAAACTGCATCACAGGAGCCTAGCTGTATAAGTAATACAACGCTGGTCTAACTCCCCTTCCACAGAGCAGCCCATGGGTCATCTCCTAGCCTACCTCTTCTCTGGACTAAATCTCCCATTTCTTATGCACACTATAATACCCTCTACTTCAAATGCTGTCAAAGACAGTGATCATCAAGGAGCCATTCATTAATTCCTTAACATTCTACTTCTAATCACTATCGCTAATTATATTAGCTTTTAGCAACAATATCACAGTAAGTCATATTGGATTTATAGGTGACAAAGTTTCAAGTATTTTTCATATTAATTACTGACAAGAGGGACTTCCTTGGTGGCGCAGTGGTTAAGACTCCATGCTCCCAATACAGGAAGCTGGGGTTTGATCCCCGGTCAGGACCTAGATCCCACATGCATGCCGCAACTAAGAGTTTCCTGCCACAACTAAGACCCGATGCAACTAAATAAATAAATATTTTTAAAAAAAATTCCTGACAAGCCAATATACCTGTATAACAAATATTTTTTTAACTCAAACATAGTACTCAATCCATTCTGTGGTAGATACTAAAGGTTAGATCATCCAACACCTCCCCCTCCTTTATCTCTTGCAGCCTTTACTGTGGAGGCTGCATAAGCTAAAAAATAAGCAAGTATTTTAGCTTATCCAGCCTCGCTTGCTGCTAGGAAGGGTCGTGACATAGTTCTGACCAATGAGATGAAAGCAGAAGTCTGTTAGTGTATTTTCTTTCCTTCCTCTTTTTGTCTTGTACATGGGCATGAGAGCTGGAGCTTCAGCAGCCATCTTGAGACCATGAAGAAAAAGTCAAGAGATTCACTGTGACATTACTTAGCCACTGAAACAATGCCAGCAGGCACCTACCTCCAAAACTCCTTGTGGTGAGAAAAATAAATTCTTAACTTACTAAGCCACTGTGGCTAGGTTTTCCATTACTTCCAATGCATACTATCAAATTCCATCTTGTTGTGGCCTTGCTGCAATTGGATTCTAAACACAGGACACCCAGTATCCTGTTTTGATAATTTTAGATTTAATTATTTTGGATTTTTATTACTACTCTGTGGCAAATACTACTAGTTGCCTACTCGATATCCATTCTCCTCTTCCTCCTAACAAAACCTGATTTTGATCACAGGGGTAATACACACACTTTAAAAATTCACCTCCCCAGACTTTCTTGAAGTTGGGGTTGTCAGGTGACCCAGTTTTAGCCAATCAGATACAAACACAAATCTACTAAGTGAAGCTCCTAGGAGAAGATTGTTTCTCCTGATCAAAGGGATGGGCCTGGGTGGCACTCACCTTATGCCCTTAACTCATCCCTGTGTCCTGCCCAAAGCCCGGGTATACTGCCTGCAGGCAGATTATGAGGACTGAGGCAGAGACTGCTAGTTCATCCCCTTCTTCCGGTAACAACTGACTCCTGATTTTATGGGGGCACCTGATCCCCCAAATAAAGACTCCATTTCCAGTCTCCCTTGAAGCTTGGCATGACCATGTGACTAAGCTCCGGTCAATAAAATCTATAAAAGTATTCTATGGTGGCTTTAAGACTTCCTTGAAAGGCAACCAGCACACACTCTGTCCCTGCTTTAATCCTTCCTCCTCCACACTGCTGCCTGGGATCCCCTGCTGCCGTTTCAGATGGTGAGTGAGGCCTGATCTGACAGCTGCTGAGCAGAGTCCAAGGACCTCGTGGAGGAGACCTGCTACACTGGGGCTCACCTGCCTCTCTCTGCACCTCCACATGAGTAATGAACTTCTTTGAGGCTTAACTGCTTACACTTGATGAAAGGACTCAAGTCTTATGGTCAGGATGATGGACCAGGTCTTCGATGGCTTCATCAAGCAGCTGGAGCTACCAAGATGGGCCACCTCTGGATTTCTTGCTACATGAAGAAAATAAAATGACTATTTGTTTTGACCACAATTGCCAGTTTCCTGTCACCTGCAGCTGAACACAATCCTGATATGCCTCCAGGGTGACAGTCCAGCTCATGACTTCTGTGTCTTCGTCAAATCATTAATAACATTTTGGTCAGATAAACAAAAAAAGCATAGTTCAAATAGCTAGCTAGTGGGAAGCAGCCACATAGCACAAGAAGATCAGCTCGGTGCTTTGTGACCACCTAGAGGGGTGGGATGGGGAGGGTGGGAAGGAGGGAGACGCAAGAGGGAAGAGATATGGGAACATATGTATACATATAGCTGATTCACTTTGTTATACGGCAGAAACTAACACACCATTGTAGAGCAATTATACTCCAATAAAGATGTTAAATTAAAAAAAAATTAAAGCAGAAAGGCAGAAAAAGCCAGCAACTGAATCTCCTGACATGAGACAAAAAAGGCGGCTGTTTGGGGTGGTACGTGGTGGCTGTCTTCACCTTTTCATCTGTACTTTGTTGTCCTGTTTCTTCCCACTCCCTTCCTTCCTCCCTCAAAGAAGTCTGGTAAGAGCTAAAGCTTTTACACATAAAAACCCACCAGTGTACCATCTGAAAGTAAGATCTAATCACTTGCTGGAGCTTCTTTTTTAACTAGTTTTTTCAATCTGTCATATGGCTTTTTATTTCACTTAAATATACTTGTAACTGGTTGACCAGGAGGTTGAACATGACTGCAGTTGAGTTAACAAGCAATCATAAAAAATGGAAAGCCCACCTTAATTATTAGCCAAATGCAAAAGCCACAGGTATTGCAAATCCAGTCATTAAAGTTTAAAAGGCATTCTCATACTATCCTGTGCTTTTCTCTTGATCCATTCACACCGTCTTCCACTTTGTCCCAAATGTTTTCACACTACCTTCTAGAACATTTCATGGACTGTGCCTTTTAAGTCCTGCCTTGACTGAAGCCAGGTTCCCTGAGAACACCACTTCCCTACAGGCCTCTCGGGCTCCAGCACAGCTGTCATACAGCAGGTTCGGTGGTAAAGCTGACATCCTCCTGGTCACTGATTCTCTATTCACCCCTGAGGACAAACCAGCATTCCATCGAGATTCAGGCCATTTGGCCATCTCTCCGTCTTCCCCTCCTTCTCACTGTCCACTCGCCTCCCAACTACTCCCCCTACTCACTGAGGATTTTAGCATGTGACTCAGGCTCCACCCCCAGGTCCTATCCTCATCCTAGTCATGTCAGTGTCCTGGACCTACTGGTCTCCCTACCTCCAGCCTTGCCCTCTCCAATCCATTCTCCCCACTACAGCCCGAGAGATACAAGAAAAATAAAAACCTATCATTTCTCCTGCTTCCAACCCTTCAAGGGCTTCCCAACACCCTTAGGTTAAAACCCAATCTGCCTAATGCAGGTTACCACAACCTTCAAGACCGGGCCCCTGCTCACCTGGGCAGGCTCACCTCTTTCCCTTCCTAGACTCTGCCGTGGCCTCTCTTGCCTTCCACCTCCTGTATTCTCTGTGTTACCGCTTTAGGTCTCGACCTAGATGTCACTTCTTCAGGGATGCACATCTATCCCACCCACTAGAAAACCCAGTCCAGATTGGTACATGTGCTCATAAGCACCTTGTATTTGCCCTCATACTGCCCTTATCTCACCGGATGAAAAGTGACTGCTTTCCTCTGTGTTTCCCAGAAGACAGCAGGGCCAGCAGGGCAGGGACCACCCCTGTCTCGTTCCACAGTAAGGTGTTCAGGGAACAGTCGTCAGATGAATTACTGAGAGCCTGGCTTTCACAAGGAGTAACCTCACTACGCAGTGCTATTGACCCTACTGGAAATCATTCTCAGTTCCTCAATAACAGAAATAAAGGTAATCTCTTTCTCTTTTAACAATGAAAATGGGCAGCCTTTCTATATGAGGTACGTATTAGTCTTTGAAGCACAGCCCATATGTCTTCTAACATCTAACACAGTACCTTACACACAGAATGAAATTAAACATTTGCTGAGTGTCAAGACTTAACAAATTAATGAGCCAGCAAAGCAAAGCATATCAAAATCATGCATCTCCTGGGACAGTATTTACCCCTTATATGTATAGGCATTTTCAAACCAAGATATTTAGGATGTTACGAATTCTGATGACATTCAAAGAAGCTATTCACATTTAGTTACTAACACATTTGGTTTCAAAATAGTTAACTGATATTTTAGTAACATTTGCCTTCTTCTTTGCACTGATTTCCAACTAGTCACCAAATCTGGTAATTTTTCTTTTGCAACTTCTCTTCATCCCAGGCCTTACCCTTCCCACTGACCCCAAGCCTAGTTTTGGCCCATCGGTGCCCAAGGCGGACTCTACCTGACTTCTGTCTCTACCCCTCCTCATACTACTAAGCTGCCTTCATAGCACCTTCCCAAGACATCTTAATAAAACCAGCCTCAACTCTCCACTATTGGATAAACAAATTTCACAGTCCTTCGCCTAACATTCAAAGCCCCTTACAATCTAATCTCAAACTACTACTCAAAAACGTTTTAATACTGTCATCAAAATTATATATGCACTTGGTGACAAGCAGTAATCCTCTTTCCCACCCTTTCCCACCCAGAGTCAACAAATTCTTAACTCGATTTCTAACGGTAACCCCTATTACTCTTACACTAATTTTGGACCTATTAATTTTGGATATAGCTAATGACTTCTTAATGAACATTTAGCTCATTTACCTCTTCCCTTCCAATATACATCAGATTTTTTTTAGTTCCTCTGTTGGTCATCATTACAACTTTAAGCAACAAACCCATACCTTTATTTCCCGTTCCATCAACTATAACCATTACCTTCTGACTTTGGGTCCCGAGCCCTTCCTTCAGCTCTTCTCTCAACCCATATTTTCAGACTTCCGATAAACACTGCCTTCGGTCGAACTGTCCCCTAGGCCATCTTTGGGACACTCAGTGCTCTTTCCCATACTGTTATATTCACTTCTCTCAATCCCATTCCTCCAGCATCCAGCTAATGGCTAGACTCCTCTGCCAAGGGGGAGCCTCACTGCCTTTCAGTACGTAGTGGACCCTGAATTCCTGGGGCAGTTATTAGTTGTTCTATCAACACAACTACCAATTATATATGCTATGCTATTTTATTTGCATTTGTATTTAACTTTTCGTGTGTGTAAGGCATGTTTTCCAAACAAGACTCTGAGGTTTCCATCTTAGCATTTCAGAGACTCTAGAAACATGCTTATGGACTAGTACTAATACGAAAGCCTCTTATAAACCTCAAAAAGCTGAGATTCAAATTCTTAGTTCCCCAGTCTAGAAGATCAAATTACTTCACGACAGTCACAAAGGCCTGGACTACAACCAAATAAAACATCCAAAGGAAGCACACTTCTAAGTAAACACATGAACTTCACTAGGGAAGACACTCAAAATCCGAAGTGAAGTACAGGGTCTTTTCTCCGAAAGAGAAAAAAAAAGGCATAGCCATTTAAAAGACATTTCACTAGCTCCTTTGTCTTAATTACACTTAAGTAGCTGCGATTCCTTGATGAAGCTAAGGGCCGCCGAGGAGAAGCCCGGGGAAGCCGAGCTGCAGGGGAGTCCAGCAAGGGACTAGCCCGAGGCAGGACTGGGTTAAGAGCTCGCGACTCCTCCCCGCTCGGGGCCGTCTGCGAAGCAGTGGGAGGGGCAGGGAAGTCTCTAGGACATTTATCTTTCCCCAGCCGTTAGCCACGCGGGAACCGGGGGGAGGGGCGTCTAGGAAGGGACGAGGTGCTCGGGGCTCGAGTGAAGCCTGGGGGTGGAGGGCTGCGTCCACCGAGGAGCCGAGGACGCTCATCGCCAGAACTGCGCAGGGGCCACCTGACCGGGCGCCGGCCCGATTTCCAGGGCGAGGGGAGTTACCGAGCGGGCAGCTCCGGGCACAACCAGGTCCCTGGAGTTACCCTAGGGAGAGGGTTGAGAAAGGTCGCGAGGGCCAAGGCTTCTGCGAGGGGCCACGGCGGTTGCGGAGTAGTTACCCGGGTGCCATTTCAGGGCCAGCTTCCGATAGGCCTTCTTGAGCTCCTCCTCGCTGGCGTCGCGCCGCACCCCCAGCGCCTCGTAGTGACACTCCATCGTCCGGCCGGGCGGGGGGCTCAGGCCGGGGCCCGGGGCGGGGCCGGTGCCCGGGCCCGGGCCGAAGTGGTGGTGGTGGCGCTGGTGGTTCTCTCCTGTGGCAGGAGCCCGGCGCCCGCACCGGGCCAGCCAGCGAGCGCGGCGGCAGCGACGGCGGCACGGGGCGACGGCGGCGCGCGGCGGCGAAAGGCGGCGCCGGTTGCGGCACGCGGGAGCGCGGAGGGGGCGTTACCGGAGGCCGCGGCTCCGCATGGGCTGGGGGAGGACCCTGTTCCGGAAATAGCCGCGCAGGAGGGAGGCGGAGCCGCGGAGGGACGGAGGTGGGGCCTTAGGAGAACGGAGGCGGGGCCACGGGAGGCGGGGCCCCGGTGGGTGTTATTGTGAGGGACACAGAGGGCAGTCAGAGTGACACCAACTTGACAGCCGACCTGAGAGCTAAGATAGGAGTCTCATGGGATGATATTCTGGAAAACATCTTGTGGTTCTTTAACGTGAGCCCCAATTTTACAGATGAGGACGACACTCAGGTAAGTGGTTTGCTCAAGCCTCCCCAATCAGTGGCAGGATTCGGTTGGATCGAATCCAGGTTTTTTTAACTCTTCAGATATCTTCGGTTACCACTTAATGAGATCTCTAATATTGCTTGTCCTGACCAATGTGCATGAGAAATAAGAGTAGATGACTTAAACTGAAACAATTTAAGAGGAAGCATCAACACGTTTTGAAGTAACATAGTACTACATGTTTTACCACCAATGTGAATGAAATTGTGCTGGTCCACCCATCCATCACTCTTTAATCCTAACTTTTTGGCCTCTAAACCTACATTTCCAAGATTGGTTTACTTTAAGAATGAAGTTAAGGGAATTCCCTGACAGTCCAGTGGTTAGGACATGGCGCTTTCCCTGCCAAGGGCCGGGTTCCATCCTGGTCAGGGGAACTAAGATCCCACAAGACCAGCGGGCCGCCAAAAAAAACCAAAAAATGCAGTTAAGAGATAGTATTTAACCAATAGGTTTTGGTTGATCTAACTGATACACTGTATTATGGGATGTAAGATCTGAACAACTGTTCCAAGCAATTTGATAAGGTGTCAAAATACTATCCTAATTGTCGTTAAAATGCCTCAGTATAGGGCTTCCCTGGTGGCACAGTAGTTAAGAGTCCTACCAACGCAGGGAACACAGGTTCAAGCCCTGATCCAGGAAGATCCCACATGCCGTGGAGCAACTAAGCCCGTGTGCCACAACTACTGAGCCTGTGCTCCAGAGCCCGTGCTCTGCAACAGAGAAGCCACCGCAGTGAGAAGCCCACGCACCACAATGAAGAGTAGCCCCCACTCATTGCAACTAGAGAAAGCCCGCACACAGCAACAAAGACCCAACACAGCCAAAAATAAATAAATAAAATTTTAAAAGAAATCCATCAGTACACCAGAGTATTTCACTGTAATGTGGAATGTTTACATATATCAGCTGTTAGATGTAGGTTGTCTTTGTCAACCACGTATGGTTAGAGAGAAGGGCTGGCTCTGTTGCTAACAAATATCTATTGTACAGGGTTGGGTATCCAAAGTTTAGGAAGCTGTCCCTTTCTTCCTTAATACCCTGCCCCCTGCACAATCAAAACCAACCAACTCTAAACCTCATCAAGTTTCTAGGCACAACACTGTCCAACCCACTACTCAAAATTCATACTTGCCTCTTTTCCAAAGGAATATACTATATGGTCTTGGATTGTAAATTGGTAATAGGTAGGGATTGAGAAATTTGAGTGCAATGAAAAACAGGACCTTTCCCCATCTGAGAATGGAATTAGGGGAGGGGGGGGTTGGACAAAAAGTGAAAAAACAAAGTACTTTTTTCTTCCTCCAACTCCATCTGGTTTTGCTACCTCTTTTTTTCCTCCTGAGGGAAAAAGGGATCTATTTTTACTTATAACATTGTATCAAAATTTAAAGATAATTACACTGCATATAAATTTCAGTCTAAAGAAAGATCTCACTAAACAGGCTGACTTCTAAATGAACATGGACTTGGGAGATGCGGAATTCTCATTCAAATGAGTTATCCATATAAATGATTATGAAAGGGAAATATACAGCTAATTTTCAGCCTATATTCTGTCACTTAAATAATGGCCTTTTTTCCCCTGCACTTAACCAGATTTGCCTTTCATTAGCCACATACAAGTATTGAATATTTCAAGTGAACCTCTGACTTGAATTAAATTTCAAGGTTAAGTAGCTTAACTTATACCATTTCAAGATAAAGTAGCCTAATTATACACTCAAGAAGGCCTTTCTTAGCAGAAAATTAGGAAAAAGTGAAATGGAAAAACTGATCATTCTGCCTACACAGATCTAAAATAAAGACAAAATCAAAACCCAAGTGACAAACTAGGAAAGATGCCTAGAAAAACCTCACTATATAAGAGCCCTTACAAATTCATGTAACTACCACACAAAACACCAGTCACAAAAGAAAACCCAGTACATAGCCAAAACACAGTATTCATTTTTTTACCTATCAAATTGACAAAGATTATCTCAGCAAGGGTGTAAGGAAATGAACACTAACCTCTGGTGAGGTACAATATTTAGGGGAACAGGTTCATAATTTTTGACCAGAGTTCTTATAGGAAACCACAAATATTGTACAAAATACCTATAGAAAGTTTGCTGCAAGCACCTATACCAGAAAAAGATAAAATTGAAATACTCAAATATCCAACAAGGGACTGCTTAGATAGGCGTGACAGAGTGGAATACTATGGAATTACTAATCACGCTGCAGAAAAAGACAGGAGAAAATGATTAGCATGAAATTAGTGGGTGACAAAATACCACATGCATGACCCCTATCCCTGGCCACTTGCATCCAGAATCTTGTCTTTCCATTACTAATCGACTTCCAGGGTAGTAAGCCCAGTGCTCTCTTTACTTCAAGTAAAGTTCTTTCTTAACAAGAGAAATTCAAATCTTCTGGTGCCCTCTTAACAACTGTCCTGTTTTTCTTTCTTTTACTGTTAATTTGATAAGTAATTTACAGGCACTGCTTCTAAATTAAATTTGTAATCTACAAAAAGCTTTCAACACATATAAACTCATTTGATTTGCAAAACCTTTTTTTTTTTTTTTTTTTTTTGTGTGGTATGTGGGCCTCTCACTGCTGTGGCCTCTCCCGTTGCGGAGCACAGGCTCCGGACGCGCAGGCTCAGCGGCCATGGCTCACAGGCCCAGCCGCTCCGCGGCATGTGGGATCTTCCCGGACCGGGGCACGAACCCGTGCCCCCTGCATCGGCAGGCGGACTCTCAACCACTGCACCACCAGGGAAGCCCAAAACCTAAGTATTTTTAGCATACATTTTCAAGGTAAGAAAACAAGATGAGAGGTTGGCTTTTCCGGGGCCTCACTGATTTGTGACTCAGGGACTCAAACCTCAGTAAGATGTTTTCCCTTCTAGCAGTCTACCCCAACTTTACCATCTGAAACTATGCTCTCAAAGTGCCTAATGCTCTTTTACATGTAATAATGATCCAATAAATCTGTTTGAATTTCAGCTTTGCTAAACTCAAAATTTTAATCCAAGAGAGCAGGCCTAAACCTTAATTGTGCTAAGTTTTTAATAATAAAAACAAGCTTTGAAAAGAAAAACAGAAATTAAGTGATGAGTTCTGGTGATATTTTATTTAGAAAAAAATAGGACCCGCCCCCCCGAAGCCACAAAATCTTAATTTTTCTCTTTTAAATGTCACACTAATTAGATATAAGGTTGTCCCAAATAATAAAAGTATTTTTACACATTGAACATAGAATAAATATAAAACAAATGAGAACAAATTAGTTATCCATTGATTCATTTTGCATTCCCACTGTTCATCTTCTGTTTCATTTTCCTTTGCCTTTTATAAATCCTTTTCTTTCTTGCTTTCAAATCGACTTTTGGCTCTGGTTTTACCCACTGTATTTCTATCGGCTTTTCCTCAGCTGGTATAACAAAAACATCTGCAGTGGGATCATGGGGAAGAATAGTCTTTGGTTCTTTCTTTCTCAGCTTCTGCACATCTTTCACTTGCTGTTTCTCTCTGTATTTTGCAGCTGTGATGGATCTTATGACACGCCGATGCTAGAAACAAAAAAATATTAAAGGTGCTTTTGAAATAAAAATAAACATTTTATACACGGCAAAGACATTAACTTATGAACCCTACTTCCCTTCACCCTGTGTCATCAAAAAAAAAAGCAATTTGTAAGACTGTACGCAGCAAAAACCAAATTCAGTTTCACAGTTAACACAACAGTTACTTGACAGAATTATTTTGGCCCAAGAGTTCTGGGACATAAAGGACCACTGAACAAAAACAGCTTACCATGTTTGGTGACTGGTAGTGAGGATTTTCATACAAAGTTGGTCCTCCAAAACTTCCCTGGAAAATCTTTATGAGATTTAAGACAAAACGGGGTCCTATTTCTACAAGAGCAGCATCTTCTTCTATGATCTTTAATAAAAAGGAAACATTTCATTTTGGTTTGGATATACTACTCCTCCTAAAATGTATACAGGCTATATCCTCATTACAAATGTGCCTAAAAGAACTGATAACCAATGAAGTTAAGGTGGAAGTGAAACTTGGCAAGTGCCAAATCATCAATACTTTCTGAAATACATTACTGGTTACAGGTAGTTGTCATAGGAAAATATAAATGCTTTTTCAGTGTGTTTTTAAAATTGAGTCACTTCAATTTGGTCTGTATCTTGCTTCTCACAACGCGTGTCTTCTTGAAAAATTGTGGTTAAATGAATATTTAAAACTGCAACCATGGGCTTCCCTGGTGACAGTGGTTGAGGGTCCGCCTGCCGATGCAGGGGACACGGGTTCGTGCCCCAGTCTGGGAAGATCCCACATGCCGTGGAGCGGCTGGGCCCGTGAGCCATGGCCGCTGAGCCTGCACGTCCAGAGCCTGTGCTCCGCGACGGGAAAGGCCACAACAGTGAGAGCCCGCGTACCACAAAAAAAATAAATAAAAAATTAAAAAAAACTGCAACCATTATAACAAAATGGATTAAAGCACCCTATGGAGCACCCTTTCAAAATTTAAATCAACCCCTAAATTGTTTTTATACATTTAATTCAAATTAGATTAAAAGGTAGATAAAAAGACGTTGGCAGAATTTAT